TGTGCTCTCTTGTGTTTTCAGCCTCCCAGTGGGAACACCTCCCGCATCCTGGCGTCGAAAACCGCGCGAAAAATCTTCTCTGACGCTGCGGTAAGTGAATCAGCTGAAAGCTTCAGGGTTTAAATCGTCATCACACACGTCACCTTTGTTCACGAYGACGTCACAGAGCGGGAGTTTTTATTGTTTCTCACATGGCGCCTAAATGATGGTTGTGGCGCCAACCTGACGATCAGCCTTCAGCGTGACGTCACTTCCGCGGCTTCTATGTTTTCATGTTCGTGTCAATGTTTGAATCACGTCAAACTTAATTAACACTGACGTCACATCAGGCTGTGCTCAATGTTGTGGTAGAAAATATGAAGGTCTGATGTTTGTGACATCACTGAGCTGCTGATCAATACACATCATCTACACACGAGCTTCATTCATCCAATAAAACGGTCTCAGACAAACATGTTGAGGTCAGAGTCTAAACTGTTTCTGTGGATTTTATACTTTKGTGGAGTTTGGACACACATGACACTTTTGTCAGACACGTCGTGAGTTTGATCACTGAAACGTGTCACGTTTAGTCTGAAGATCATTTTAAACATTTCAAACCAAGAAGATCAGCTCGTCTGCWGCTGAAGAACCAGAGAACCTCTGATGTTTGATCTGAACTCAACTTTCAGCTCTGAAAGACTCATTTCACTCAGAACCACGTGAACGCTCCCGTTACAAAATGAGCCTCTTCTGTTGTTTTTCAGCCCAAAGTCTTGAAGAAGAGCAGCAGCGAGGGGGAGGAGCCGCTGCTGAAAGAAAACCCGCAGCGCTTCGTCATCTTCCCCATCCAGTACCATGACATCTGGCAGATGTACAAGAAGGCCGAGGCATCTTTCTGGACCGCAGAGGAGGTAAGCGTGACAGCCGCTGCTCTCAGCGACGCCTCAGGGTAACGCGGCCGTCTTGACGTGGCGCTAACGGCTTATTTTTTGTGTCGCGCAGGTCGACCTGTCAAAGGATCTGCAGCACTGGGAGTCTCTGAAGGAGGAGGAGAGGTACTTCATCTCTCACGTGTTGGCGTTCTTCGCCGCCAGCGACGGCATCGTCAACGAGAACCTGGTGAGTGTGACCGAGCTGCGGTCTGAACTGGTTATTGCTGTGTTTTAAGTTTGTGATTGGACGTGTGTGATTCTGAACTCTCACCCTGTGACCACCAGGTGGAGCGCTTTACGCAGGAAGTGCAGGTGACCGAGGCCCGGTGTTTCTATGGTTTCCAGATCGCCATGGAGAACATCCACTCGGAGATGTATAGCCTTCTCATCGACACGTACATCAAGGAGCCCAAAGAGAGGTGAGCTCTCTACTGCCTCCTACTGTTTTCTCCCGGTCTGTGCTGTTGTCTGACGCTGCGTTCACTGCCCCTCAGAGAATACCTGTTCAACGCCATCGAGACTCTGCCGTGTGTGAAGAAGAAGGCCGACTGGGCGATCAACTGGATCGGCAACAACAAAGCCGCCTTTGGTAAAGCTGCTCGCCRTGAGCCCGCGTGATGTTGTGGTGCCTGATCGTTCAGGTTTGGTATTGATGATCTGCGTCTGGTATTGATCCTCCAGGAGAGCGGGTGGTGGCCTTCGCGGCAGTGGAGGGAATCTTCTTCTCTGGTTCGTTCGCTTCCATCTTCTGGCTGAAGAAGAGAGGTCTCATGCCCGGCCTGACCTTCTCCAACGAGCTCATCAGCAGAGATGAGGTGAGCGCCTCGCACTAACGCCACGCCCCCCATGACCAGCCACTAACTGATCTGCTTGTTTACTGCGTCCGTCSGTTGATCACAGTTCATTCATCGTGATCAATCAAATTGTCAGCAGTTGATCCATAATGAGAATATGAGACAGACGATGTTGTTGTGAACCAGCAGCAGGAAGATGTGGTCGAGTTAATGACGCCACGTTGAAAACATCAAGTCAAAGTAATG